CCGGCTCTCTGGGCACAAGTGACGTGAAACGCCCTGTAGCAGTTCGCTTTGTGGCACTGAATAGACGCCCCCCTGCCTTTCTGTTTGCACAGGTAACAGGTGAGCTTCCATCGCGCAGGAGGAATGTTCTTCACTCCCTCCACAGGCTCCAGGAACACAGTGTTGGCAAAGCACACTTCAGGGATCCATATGGCACAGATGACGTGGGCCCAGCTTCCGTCACTGGTTTGCTTGAACGCACCTCCCCGATTGGGGCAGAGGACGCAATCGATGGGACGCGACGGGGACTGCAGACAGCGCCTGCACAGCCACTGGCCCTCAGGGATGTAAGGCACCCCATAACATTCCTGGTGCACGGCGAGGTTGCAGATGTCGCAGAACAGGATGACGTTGCTGTTGAGACACTCGTCGTCGAGGCAAACGCAACAGTAGGCATCTTCGTCGATGGTGCTCTGGGACAGCGTCTGGCTGCGGGACTCCAAAATGGACTCGCGCTCAAGTCGGTCAATCAGTAACTCGAACGTATCAGGGGGGACTGAAGCGTGTCCATCGGACACACGCTTTTGATTGACCATCTCTAGCCAAGCCATGTCCTCCTCATCCATGTCATACTCAGCTTCGTTGTCCAGCTCTTCCCCTGACTTCTCCATGTAGCGGTAATAAGCCACAGGAAGAGGAGGAGCCTCTGAAGCCGTGAAAGTGTCCACCTTATGAAACGTAGGCTTAGGCAAGGGGGTTTGGTTATGGGCCACCTGGTTTTGCAAGCTATACTGAGAGCTTGATTTCTTTTTGGCTGCGTGTTTGCCATCTTTCCGCTTGCTTTTAGATGCGGTCTGTTTGTTTCCCTGTCTCTGCTCGCTGTTCTCTTTGTTACTGTTGCATTCTGTCAGATCCTGAGCCAGCATCTCGTCTTCTGTTACAACGGAGAGCTGGTCACAGATGTTGATCCGGTGGAGCCGTCCTTCCAGCTCAATCTCCACCATTTTCTGAGCCTGTGCATATGTAAGTGTGTCTCTGGTCGTAGAGAAGTTCAGTCTGCATGGAGAAGGTGGACAGAGCAGAGCGTCTGTGTCAGCGTGGCTGGATGGACCAACCAGACCCTGATCCTTTCCTCTGACCATTCCTCTCCCAAAGCCTCCAGCCCTGGACTGGCCAACTCGTTTTCTTAACTTCCTCATTGGAGTCGTCCTCTATATAAATGTTAAAATATGAATGGACATAAGTACCTACAAAGATAAAAATAATAAATATATGTTACAAATATTGAGCAGATACTGCTAAAAAAAAACCTAAGACAAGAGACTACAGGTCAGTTTTAAGGACTTACATACACCATCAATATCTACATTCTGAAGGTTTTTACAGAAGAGATGGTTCATTTGCCTTGGAATTTGCTTGGTTTTGTAACATTTTATTTCCCGCCTGTTACAATATATTCTGATTTATGGAGCAATAAAAAATATCCAAAATCCTCTCTGTAAAAACCTTTAACAAGTCAACCAAATAAAACAATTCCTGCTCTTATCACTTTTTATAAAAAATAAAAAAATAAACGTGTATGCAAATTAGTGCATATAGGTAGTTGACAGATAGGCAATAAAAAATGCTTTTTTGTAAAAGACCATTTTTGAAGAAGAAATGCATATAGTGTGAAGCCTGATCTTTGAGAAAATATGAAGGGTCACTAACTTCGTCAATTCTTTCAATGTTTGTTTTTTTTAAACATTTTTACTGAACTGTACCATAAATCTGTCCTATGGTGTGACAACAAAAATTAAGAAAAAACCTCTTAATAATATACAAATAGCATGAGAGAGATTTATCTTCATTGTTAGACACTTATATTCATATAGTGTTACTTATTTAATATGAAATTATAATTAACATAATATTTTCCCCATGACTTATTGGACAATTTCAAGACAAACTTTGACAACAAGACAAACTTTGCTGTCATCCGTTCAAAACTACTGAAAATTATACCATTTTAGGATGAGTGATATTTGTATCTCCCCTATTGCAATACTCAACTGTTTTTTTTTTAGGATATTTTGAGATAAAAACAAATCAGTGGTTCTTTTATGTGTGTCACACCATAGGACATTACGTCACACTAAAGGACAGAAATTATAGTTAAATAAGTATTTCTATTTAATTTTGAACAGGTCAAAGGAGAAAGTGTAATTTTGATACCAACAATATAAACATGTTTTTTAAACAAAACAATATAATTTTCATCAACAAAATTCAGTCTCTTAGTCAATCAGTATGTTACTAAAACTCTTCTAGCCCCCACAATCCCTGTTAATGTTCTGTCTATATTTCCGTGTCCTCTTTCTTCCACTAATTTCTCTCCATAAATTCTTTGTTTCAAAAACAAAGTATCACATTTTATACTTATTTTCATGACACTTTATAACAGTACAGGTTTTTTGCAAAAACATCAGAAAATAGTTTAATTAATGCAATTATTGCATTTAAGAACATTGAAAATGATCAAAAAATAATTAAAAAAGGAGTTAAACAAATCTTATTTAATTATTTTAAATGCTTTTTAAAGAGACCTTGTCCTCTGGTGTGACATCTTTGTCCTGTGGTGTGTGTGACAGTACAGGCGTCACACCGGAGGACATTTTCTGTCACACCACAGGACGTTTTAGCCTTTTTGCGTAAATTGATGACCTTGCTATTCCAAGCTAACCTGTCATTAGCGGTTGGCAAGACAAATTTGCATCATTTTCCATGATTATGTAGTTTAACATACAGTTTTTAATTAAAAAATATAATTTAGGGGTGTCACACCAAAGGACAACAAAACGTAACACTTTTGTAGTGTTTCCAAAAAAGTTAAATATTTGAACAATTCTGAGAGAAAAATTACCTTCACAGGGGGCTTCAGTAACACGACCTTGAATGGGGTACTTCAACTAATTAAAGTTTTCTCTGGAATTGGCCGAGGGTGTCACACCAAAGGACAACAAAACGTAACACTTTTGTAGTGGTTCCAAAAAAGTTAAATATTTGAACAATTCTGTGACAGAAATTGACCATGTGCTCATGTCATGGGCTTCACAGGGGGCTTCAGTAACATAATTATGAACGGGGTCCTTCAACTAATTAAAGTTTTCTCTGGAACTGGCCGATTTAAAATCAGGATATGGTGTCACACCATAGGACATGGTTTTCAGAGACAAAATGTATCAAGTTCCTACGCTTTAAAAAATATATGGATGAAAAAAATTACTGCCATTTACTAAAATAGACATTTGTACAATTATGCCGGAGGTATTTATTAACATTTCTGTGGTTTTCTTTTTAATTTATAGCCTAAAAGATGTAATTAACTAAACCATGCTTGGGACAGTCACACCATAGGACAATTTTGAGATTTGGCTCAAAAATGTCAAAAATTGAATAACACTGCAGCTTTACGGTTGCAAAGGGGTGGAAAATTTCTGGAAAATTTCCAAAAATCTCTGGAAGATTCCAAAAAATCCTGGAAAGTTTCCAAAATTTCTGGAATGTTTCCGAAATTTGCTGGAAATTTTCCACCTTTTTGCAACCCTATGTAGGACAAAGAAATGTTTAATGATTTACCGCATTTTAAATAACAACAATATTAATTATATTCATTTTTATCTTGTGGGACACTGAAAATGCCATGTCACGTCTACAACCCATATATCATTAGATAATAGGTAGGCCTATATTTCATTTCAAAAAAACTTATAATACAAAACTGTCTTAAAGGGATAGTTCACCCAAAAATGAAAATTCTGTCATTAATTACTCACCCTCATGTCGTTCCAAACCCGTAAGAACTTCGTTCATCTTCGGAACTCAAATTAAAATATTTTTGATTAAATCCGACAGCTCTCTGACCCTCCGTAGACAGCAAAGGAACTACCATGATCAAGGCACAGAAACGTAGCAAGGACATTGGTAAAATAGTCCATGTATCTATATTCTATTGACAGTATTTTTATTTTTGAGTGAACTACCCCTTTAATGCACTGCGATTATTCAACTCAAAAGGTATGGTGATATCCATTTTAGTTAAAACGTTTACCCTATTCATCCGTAGTGTCTTGCCTTAAACCATAAAAACTATGTTAGTGCAGCAAACCTTCTCAGGTTGGTTTTAATGGCTTTTAGCAATGATAGGAATGTAAAACATTAACTGTCAAATGTAGCAGCTACTCTGCTCCTTCATGGTGTGTTTGCTGTAACAAAAAGTATATGTTTTATTGTGAACAATAAACATCTTATAATTACTCAAATGAGCAGATACACATTTACAGCATGCATGTCCCTCCATTTGAAACGTTGGAAATGAATGTATATCATGTGAACCAATAGAGTGCTTTGCACATATCACGTGAATAATTCGAGCCAATCACCGGGCAGACCTTCAAAGGTTCCACGACCCAGTTGACGTAGTTCGGTTGCAGAGCGCTAAATGCCAATCCTGAAGCGAGACAGGCGAGTCAGCCATTTTAGCAGGGCTGATGGACAGTCTCTCAACCTTGATTGTTTTTCCTGATAACAAACTCTAAAGGTGTAATATGCCTTATTTACACTTTATCAGCCAAACGACAAATAACTGCACATGACGCTATAGCTAATTGCAAGTCGTTTGCATGCAATGCCGTGTGCGTATCTGCAGAGAAAAGCACTTGTGTGTAATAAAGCGCCGTCTACAGTCAGCAAAGCAGCGCCTTTCAGTGCTGGAGCCATATTTAGAGAGTGCAAGCAAGCAACCGCAGCGCTACCTGCCCCCGTGACATTACTGTTTATAGAGAACAGTGGAAAATAAATCAGCACACTTACTCTTTTATCGATCGCTCGAAACGACAGAGAATGCCGGTCATATCCAGGGGCGACAGCGTCCTCTTCTGTAGCAAGACGGGCTTCCTCAACCCTCCGTTGAAAAGACTTCCCACAAAAACGTTTCTAAACACACATCCCGGCTGTTTACACAACACTAACACCTTGACATGGTGCCCGAGTGTTTCAATTAGGCGCCTGACATTATTGCAGAGTGTATCGGGTGCATTGAACGTTGGTTTGTAATTAATTTGGCAAGAAAAATACGCCCCTTTAGAAAAAAAGCGAATTCTCGGCGTTGGGTTTGCACTTGGCGCGCGCATCATGCGCACTGGTCTGTGATTGGTCGAAATGGTCACCGTGAGGCCGTGATGTCTTACTGAAGCCAGTAGAGACTGAGAGCGATGAGAAAAACAACGCGACTGACTTCCCTCATCAGTTTGCGCGCATAGACTCCATGTTCACATGCTACATAAACGTCCATTGTGGGGGGGGGAAAACATAATTTCTTGACGATAGTCGACACAGTAGTTAATAATAATCCAGATAATAATAATAATAATAATAATAATAATATAATGATGTTTTAAACATAATTTATGTCCTTTCCACTTTCCTCTGAATATAACTTTATATTTCAATGGTCTTTTACACAGCGTTCTTCTTGAAGACCATCTTTTAATAGTTCTGTATGTGAATTTTGTCCACTTACTATCCATTATTATTATTATTAGGCGTATTATTAATATTATAGGTTATTATTTTATTTTGTAATGTGTTTTAAACAACCTGAGATTATTTCATCTTTTCCTTTTTCCTCTGAATATATAAAAACCGTCTTTTAATGCACTGTATACACTTTATGCATGTGTAGTAGCCTATGCATTAGCATTTTCCCCAAACACACTGGTGTTGGAGGGCACACTAGTTAGCTATTATATTCAGTATTGGGCCATACTAACCTAAGACATTGAAATTTAATAATAATACAGGTAATATCATAATAATAATAATGGTTTAAGCTTCATTTTTTTCCTTTCCATTTTCCTCTGAATATAAAGACCATCTTTTAATGGTAGCCTGTGATTTTTGTCCACTTACTATTAATTATTATTATTATTATTTATTTTATTTTATTTTGTAACGTGCAACGTGTTTGAACAACCTGAGATAATTTAATCTTTTCTTTTTTCCTATAAATATCTTTTAATGTGTATATACACTTTATGCATGTAAGTAGGCTATGCTTTATAATTTTTCCCAGATACACTGGTGTTGGAGGGCACACTTATTATATTCAATATTGGGCCATACTGACCTAAGACACTGAAATTGGACACAAATGTGACCCTGGACCACAAAACCAGTCATAAGTTGCACGGTTATATTTGTAGCAATAGCCAACAATTTGTAACAATTGTAACAATTTGTTAACAAATTGTATGGGTCAAAATGACAGATTTTTCTTTTATGCCAAAATTCATTAGGATATTAAGTAAAGATTATGTTCCACAAAGATATTTTGTAAATTTCCTACCGTAAATATATCAAAACTTAATTTTTGATTAGGAATATGCATTGCTAAGAACTTCATTTGGACAACTTTTAAGGCGATTTTCTAAATATTTATATTTTTTTGCAGATTTTTCCAGATTTTCAAATAGTTGTATCTCGGACAAATATTGTCCTATCCTTATTTATTCAGCTTTCAGATGATGCATAAATCTCAATTTAAAAAAATTGACCCTTATGACTGGTTTTGTGGTCCAGGGTAACAAATGTTAAAATCAAAATTTCACGTATTTTCAATCTTGTCTGTATCTAACATATTCTGGAAGTATAACATATTTATAATTCATCCAGCTCCAGAATATTCTATCAACCCCCATTTCATTCTAAGTGTTTGGATGACTTTCTCCACCCCCCAAAACTCATTGGCTTTTCCCAAGCCTTTAGTGGGAACCCTCTAATTCATTATTGTAAAGCACACCACTGTCTTGATCGGCGTCAGTGTCAGTGCTGCCCCAGCACCGTGGAATTTCACCGCAAACATCATGGTAAGTGTGAGACTGGGAGGATGCTGTTTGATTGATAGATCCTTAGAAAGTCATTAATGTCTGTTTGATTTGAAGTACGCTGGAAGCTCTGAAAATGCATTTGTGGTCATATGGTAGAAATGTAAGACTGTATTATTACTCATAAATCTCATCAAAACATTAAGAAGTCATATAAAATGTGTCTTTTTACATTTTTTTTTAACATTTTATATATACATATAGCCTAATATTATTTTACTTTGTAAAACATTTTTATATTAAAATATTTATATATATTATATAAATAGAATTTAAAAGACACATGCTTACCACTTATTATGTGTATTAATACTAAGCCTATGTGTATGTTTATAGGGAGAGATGGCTATCTAGTATTAATAATTGTAATAAAATAGACTACATAATATATATATATATATATATATATATATATATATATATATATGAATATATAAATGTTTTTAAATGTGTTAATATGTAAACAGCCAGATTGTCTGTTTGGCTTGCAGGTCAGGATCAGCAACATGGGAATTGTCTCTTTATGCATAGTATTGCTGCTGGGGTCAGAGATCTGCATAGCAGGTATTACCAAAGTTTGTTGATATATAACGTAAAAGTTCAATATTCTTGCGTTCTGCAGTTACTATGTTTTTGTCTCATGTGAAATTGTTATGATGTAATGGCATCACACAGAAGCACATCAAATTATTTCCTGTATACGTAGAATCCGTTCTGTTTCTGAAAGAAATACAATAGAGGCATTGGTTACTTTTATGGCATCTCGTGTAATTTCATAAACAGCAGAAATCTTTGCCAACTCGTCTTGTCCTCACCGCGTGAAGTTCTTGAATTTCACAGGCCTGTCATATGATAAATGGCTGAACAGTCAGCTGGGCACATCATCAAAGATAGTGACCACATCCTGTTTGGCACACTTCATACCCCATTCTGACAGAGAGGAAGTCAGCCAGCTGAAACCCTCTCAAAAACGCTTATAAATCAATTCAAAGCCTTGAACAAGCGGAACAGTGTTTAAGACATGCCAAGCTATGACAGCACATCGAGGGCCCTCTGTGTCTGTCATAAATTGAATAGGAGGAGCTGATGAGTGTCAACATCACTCTATGGTGTTGATGGAGTCCTGAGGGCCTCGCTCAACTTTAGCTTCAGATACTCTTTGACTGCCCTTACCAGGCCTTCGTGATCAAGTGACAAAAAACAGTAACTCCAATTAGTCACAGTTCAGCCCTGCAATGAGTCTCTCACTTCTGAGAAAGTAGGAAAAACGCAGCCAAACTTTGCGGGCTCCGGAAACCAAGAAGCTGCCTAAGAGAGCATCAAACGCAGCCGGGCCATTCACTCATCATTATCTCCCCGAGATTCGCAGACTGAGCGCGGATGGGACTGCCGGACAAAAGGCTCTCTGATGACTCTGGCTAATTTAAGATGGAGCTATTTGTGACACAAATGCAGCAGGAAGTGAGACTCCCGGTCAGAGGACTGATTTGGCAGATCAATAGAGGAGCCACTGAAGTCTTGGCCATGTCTTTCTGTGTCAGCTTGAGGTCACTTTTGAACAAACACGCTCTTGAACAGATCTGAGGTTTTCAAATGTGTTTACTCAGTAGGACTCTGTTTTGTTTATCGACTTCAATCCCTTCAAATGTATTGATGTTATAAACAGGGTTCTGTGATGAGATTCTTATATTATCTATGTATACACACAAGTTTGGGTTCAGTAAGATGGTTTTTCTTTTTGAAAGAAATTAATACTTGAATTCAGCAAGGATGCATTAAAGATTTAACTTTCTATTCATGGTTTCCACAAAAAAATATTAAGCAGCACAACTGTTGTCAACACTGATAATTAGAAAAATGTTTATTGAGCTGCAAATCAGCTAATTAGAATGAAGGATCATGTGACACTGAAGACTGGAGTAATGGCTGCTGAAAATTCAACTTTGCCAACATGAATAAATTAGATTTTAAAATATATTAAAACACAAAACAGTTATTTTAAATTGCAATAATACAATTTACACAATATACTGTTTTACTGTATTTTTGATCAAATAAATGCAGCTTTGTTAAGCACATAAGAGACTTCTTTTAAAAAAACTCCACCGACTCCACGCTTTTGAGCGATAGTGTATATAAATGTATTTATAATAAGTTAATTATATTAATAATATAATGTTTCCATTTCAGCAAGGCAAGAACTGATAGTTACCTCCATCAAGGTAAGATTAAAATGATAAAACATTATGTTATTTTGTATTTTCACATGATTTATAATAACAATAATTTCATTGTATTAATAATTTATTATTTACATCATATTAATTTTTGATTTCAGCAAGACCCCTACACAATGAGCAAGGGCTTGCAGTTGGAAGGCTACTGTATGGATCTGCTCACTGAGCTGGCTAAGAAACTGGGTTTCAAATACAAAGTTCACCTGGTGAAGGATGGAGCGTATGGCCGGCAAGATGAAAGTGGAAACTGGAACGGAATGATCGGGGAGGTTGTTAGAGGGGTATGTGATGAATTTTACAGAAAAATACACAGTAGTACTGGTCCTGTACTGATGCATTTAAACTGAAAACCAGCATAGCAGTTAAATCATCTTGATGATATTAATCCTTCCTAGGTAATGTCAAACCTTCCATGTATTTTGCTCACAGGAAGCTGATCTCGCCGTGGCTCCCCTCACTCTCACTGCTGCCCGTGAGAAGGCAGTGGGAATGACAAAACCTTACATGCAGACGGGAATCAGTATCCTCCTCCGCAAAGATATCGTTTCTGAGGAGGCCGGGTTTTTTGACTTCCTCTCCCCTTTCTCTGGGGAGACCTGGTTCGGCGTCCTGATTGCATACTTTGTGACTGCAGTCTGCATCTGCATTGTGGGAAGGTCAGAGAAAGGAGGAGAACACCACCACAGACACAAGAGCCCTTACTTATTTACTGCACAAAACATTCTATTAGTATAGCTGTAAAACTGCTGTGCTGTTGTCCAGGATGGTTTCTGAATAGGATTCTGAAACTCAATTCTATATTTGTCTTTTTATGTCAAGGTTGAGTCCATGTGAATGGAGTCAGCCTGAGACAGAGCCAAATCACTTCACTCTCCTCCACAGTTTGTGGTACGCTGCGGGAGCCCTAAGCCTGCAAGGTAATCATGTGAATCATGTATAATTGTATGAATGTAATAGCAGTTTTTAGTGGTCATGCACTGAAAAGCCCAAAGTCTTGACCCTTCGAATGCAGGATATATTTCATCATCTGTCCAGTGTCAACCATATCCCTTATGGCCATTTTAATCTTTTTTACTACACATTTTGCAATATCTGTGGAATCTTCACCAAATGTATTTCATATCAAGCCTCACAATAATCATTTATTGGATTTTTTATTTTTTTATTTTTAATAATTGTTCTGCAGAACCAGTAGTGCACTATGGAAGTTTTTCCTACAATAATAATTTATATTTTGAGTGGTCGAGTTGATTTTCATATTTAGGCCAGGTCCATCAGTTATATTCTAGTAGTATTTATATAGTTTTTTTTAAAAATTAATATTATGAATTAGCATTTGTTTTTATTTTTTCAATTTTCATTTTAATTTAGTTATTTGCTTTTGTCATTTTTCTTTTTTTTTTTTGTAATAATACTATTTAGGTTTAAGTTATTTTTATTTCAGTTGTAGTTCTTATTTATTTGCAGATGCTTCAGCTTAAACTTCAGCTTTTAATCTAATATTTATATTATTTCAGCTTTATTTTAGTTTTCCAGATCTTTTTTTTATAGTTTATTTTATATTACTATTTAGGTTTAATTAATTGTATTATTTGTTTTAGTTTTAGTTTTTATTATTTCCAGTTAGTCCTTTTAGTGCTTCAAATTAACTCAATTTTAGTTAGTTGCCAAGGCACCATTTGTAATTTTTATTTAGTGTGTTTTTCATCTAATAATTATTTTATTTCAGCTTTATTTCAGTTAACAAAAATGTTAGCTACTAAAGCAGCAGCATTTCAAAAAAATGTTTTTCAACCACAGATGACAGTAAAAAAGTGAAAGTGGTGCACCATTGCCAATTTTCTGGCGAAGATGCCAAACAGGAAGTGGAGCTCTGTCTTAGAGGTGCTTTGGTATATAAAAACAAAACTTCATCGCCGCCATGCCCTTACAGAGTGCAAAATTTTAACACCTGCACCTCCTACTTATCAAAATATATTCACAATAATATACTTATATCCTTTAAAAACAGGAATATGTAGCCCTACAATGTATTTTCCACATACTGTATAGTCAGCATGACAAGGTATAGTTCACTGGGGTGCTTGGCCCTTTATTGCTGCCTGCAGCTATTTTGCTATCTAAACTACTTTTCAGCCATTGATAATGGAAGGATAACGTCTTTTCCTCTCATTTGTTTTGCTTTCTGCAGGTGCAGGCCCTCACCCTAAAGCTGTGTCAGGAAGGGTTATCAGTTGTACCTGGTGGTTGTTTGCTGTGGTGCTCCTGGCCTGTTATTTTTCCAGCCTCAGTTCCTCTCAGGGGTCTGACTCTGCACCGCTCATGATTAAAGGTTTTGAGGACTTGGCTAATCAGGACGTAATAGAATATGGAACACTTGCCGGCTCCTCCACTCTTGCCTTCTTTAAGGTCTGATCACATGAATTATTTCATCACATTTTTCCGATTACTCAAATTCATTCCTACCAGATGGTACAGAAAAGATTTCCTAACGTATTTTCTTTTTGCACAGAACTCAAATAACCCATCTTACCGTCGTATCTATGAGCACATGGAACGGAGAAAGAGTTTTGTGTCCTCCATGGATGAGGGTGTCCAGAGAGCAAAGGAAGGAAACTATGCTTTTATTGGAGAATCAGTGTCCTTGGACTTGGCTGTGGCACGCCATTGTGACCTGGTCCGGGCGCATGAGGTCATCGGGATGAGAGGTTACAGCATTGTAACTCCTCTTGGTGAGACAAACATATTTATGCAGTTTTAAATGGAAAATGATTTTCCAAAGCTGTAAATAGAGATTATTGGAGTATGTTTTAATAGAAAATACTAGTCTTAGTCTTTCCTCTCTCACGAGATCTCATGTTAAATTCAGTGTCTTTAATTATTTTTGAAATTTACTACAATTTCTGAGTGAAATTTTAAAGTTATGTTGTTGTTGTTGTTCAAAGGAGTTTAAAAACTTATACATTAAAGCTATAGTTCATCAAAAAATACAAATTTAGTGAAAATGTATTCATCCACAGGCAATCAAAGATGAGTTCATTTCTTCAGAGCAGATTTGGAGAAATTTAGCATTAGATCTCTTGCTCACCAATGGATCCTCTGCAGTGAATGGGTGCCGTCAGAATGAGAGTCCAATCAGCTGATAAAAACATCACAATCACAAGTAATCCACACATCTCATTCTGACGGCACCCATTCGCTGCCGAGGCTCCATTGGTGAGCAGATTTTCTCCAAATCTGTTTTTATGAAGAAACAAACTCATCTATAGCTGGGTTTCCCTCCAAGGTTGTGAATTTAACTTGTGCGCAAAATTGGAATATCGCATAAAACATTTGCGAATAAGCACTGTTTCCAACCAGTCAAAGAGAACAAAATCGTCACTTCCTGATAAACTGGCACTAAATATCACTAAGTAGGAGTAGCCACTGAATTGAATAATTTTCAAATATAATAAATGTCTTGCTCCTCAGAGCGGCCTGATGAAACACAATAAATGCAGTCATTGCTTTCAGAGGTGGATGCCTGCTGTTTGGGAATGCAGTCATGTAAGGCAGTTCTGGGAGGCAATTATACAGAAATACTTTGACGACATAATTTGCTTGGGCGTTTAAGAATGGTCATAACATTTCAAATGCTGTGCAACGAGATCGGTCCACTGGTTAGTCAGGTTATGCCATCCCATAGCGTGAAAGTCACATGACTTTTTTGATGCACGTGGAGGAATTTATATGCAAAATGCATTTCCATCTCCCATTATTCACATTAACCCTTTTTCGAAAAAGTCAAAAACTACCTCAGCGTATTTTTATTTTGCAAATTAAGGGTTTTTTTTCTGAAATTTGATGCGATACTTCAAATTTTCATTATTGCATTAACTATTGCTTTAAAATTTACCTAAAAATACTTTTGGTTGAATTACTTGTTCAAAGAGAGACACAAGACTTGTTTCCGTTGCTGCAGTTCAATCTGCAGTGAATGGTTTTAATGCCACAGTATTTTTGGAACAGGATCTCCAATGCTGAAGAACCTGAGCGTGGCCATCCTGCAGCTGAGTGAGGCTGGGGAGCTGGCGTACCTGCGCACTAAGTGGTGGGCCAGCAGCTGTATACCGGATAGTGCCAAAGGCTCGTCTCTGAGGGCCCATAGCATGAAGGGCATCTTCCTGGTTCTGGCTATAGGCCTTGGGATTGGAGTGCTGCTCTCCTTGTTTGAACTCACCTCAAAGTCTCGCAGCACTGCAGGGGAGCAGAAGGCAAGTAATGCCAATATACACACACACACACACACACACACACACACACACACACATACATCTCAATGAACTACCACACCAGGAAGATTTCAACTGTACAGTAGCACATTTCAATATGTGTTTTTGTTCATTATAATACAGTCGGTGAAAATAAACCTGTTCTCGTTGATACAGAAATCCTGCTGTGCAGTTTTGACTCAGGAGCTGAGCCAGCGTTTGAGAATGACCAACACAAAGGGAGACCAGGAAACCTCAGACAAAAACAAGGCATAAAATGCTCAAACACTGATGTAATATGCAAGTCTTACATTATTAGGTTTGTACATTATCTGGTGCTAGGTATTATTACTATTTCCCAAGTTAGAAAATGATATTTTTTAACATTTTATATTTTTAACTGATTTAGATAAGCTGTACTAAAACTGCAGAGATTTTAATACATAATCTTATTTTTTTTCTTTTTACATTTAAATCAAGCTGCCTGTTTGTTCAATGATGCAATGAGACACCTTTTCATTTACATCTTGCAGCAAAATCTCATGCAGTTGTTTATATTAGATCAATCTGGAAACAATATAGAAACAGAGATTTTTAGACCAGCATTACGAGTCAAAAATGTTCAATGTGAAATCTATTTTGCGAATGAATGTCAAAATTTGGAGACAACTGAACAAAGAGTACATTTGATTTTATGTTTGTTAAATTCTGTACATCAGAGGAAATGTTTGTAATAAATTCAGAAATGCAAGGGAAATGTCTATGAAAAGTAAAATATTTCATGTAAGAAAAAATTACAAGTAACATATTACAGTTGTTTTGTAATTCAAACATAGGAAACACATAAAATTATGTTAAATTAAAAAAAACTCTTACTGTCACAAAAGAGGTATGCATTCTGGCACCATGTATATTAATGAATTAATAAACTTGATCTAACACCAAAGTGTGACTGCATTTTTTAACAAACATGAGAAACATATGTTTAGTTTTCAATTCTGAATTGCAGCTTCCAAATGCAAAAGTCCAAATGTAACATTCCAGGTGCCTTTTAGAAAAAATAATAAATTATGAGTCCAGATGGCATGAGCTGACGAGTAAGATTTAATCAAGATGATACTTGTACAAAATACAAATATGTATTTATGTCATTGCTTTTCTTCCTGTAGCATCTGTCCATACCCGTAACTGCAGTGTGGAATTTTGTTATTTCTGTTTCTTCTTAGGTTTCAAATGCATGTTTTGTTTTCTACAATGTTGAAGAATCTAAAAAAAAAAAAAAAAAAATTAAAACCCCACCACAAATTAACATCATTGAGATCTCTTGTAAGCTCAAATAAAAAGTGTTTTTTGTTTTACTCAACCAGCATGAAAATAGCATTAATTTAACTAAATAAATTAAAATAAATTAATCATTTAGAAAAGGCACTTTTCTGCACCTTACGACTTACCTCTGAGAAACAGTGGCGAATGGCATCGAATCTCACGCATTTTCTGCTCAAACAGAGCATTCATTTCCCTCTGCAGTGTGCCCATTGTCTGCTGCTGGTTGTCAGGGAAACGGGATTGCAGAGTACTCAGGTCAAGGCTGTCCAAACTACTTAGGCTGCTTGATTCACTCTCAGCGAGGTTGTGATTATTATAAAGAGAGTTTTTTGGTGCAGAGTAACTGCACTGAGGGAGAGGGTGCTGGTTGAGGAAGTCTTTCCTAATGTGATGGGGTGTGTTTGGTGGCGAGGGCGGACGGCGTCTCGGGACGCTTTGTGATCTACGTCCTTTAAATGGTGAATCTTTGGAAGACGGTGTGTCTGGGTCATTCACGCATCTGCTCAGCGCAGGGGTTGCAGGGATTGACAACGGCTGCCACTGAGGGTTAAGCCTACCATCTAAAGAACGTCCATATTTATTCCTGAGCAACACAGTTCTGGTGTTTAACGTTCCACTGGAAGGATCTAGTACTCCATCAGGTATTGGATGGAAATTTAAGGGTTCACACTCTTGTGTAGGTTCTGACTGAATTTTCTGACTCTCTTGAGGTTCGTACATCTCAGGTTCCTGCTCTGCATCCTCAGATTTAACACCTGAGATCTGCTTCAACAAGGACTGATTATTCAGTGTAGAAGTGGGAACCGCTAAGTTTGTAGACTCACACTCCTGTTTATTTTGTTTTGAAACAGTCAGCTCTTTGGTTTCCTCAAGGTGTGACTGAACCACAGAAGTCTGAATGTCCAAATCTGAACTGTCTTTTGAATCAAATGCTAAGTTGGTGTAGTCCATAGCCACTCCTGCTCCACCAGAGCATGTGATGGAGGACAGGCGGCACCGTGCCTCGTGAGATCCTTCCGGCTCCTGAAAACAGACCTTATGGGCCCTTCTAAGGGGTTCACTTTGAGCTCCTCTGAGCAAAGATGCAGATTGTGAGGTGCTCCTACTGTCCTTTGAGCTCACGTCATCACTGTAACGTCTGTTTAGAAAGTCCTCTTTGGTGTAGCAGTCAGTTGAGCCCTTCACCACTTTTGCTTGGTTCTTTCCAGCTCCTTTCCGCAGGAAGTTCGGGCCAAAGGATGTCCTTGTGCCATCTTCAGAGGTCTGCATAAGGTTTTTCTGGATTAGCTGCTTTACTGCGTTGCTTGATTTGACCTGGTTATCAATATATTAGCAAAACAATTTTATAATGTTAAAATGGTAATTAACAGAGAAGTTCACTTCCAGAATGAAAATTTCCTGATAATTTACTCATCCCCGTGTCATCCAAGATGTTCATGTCTTTCTTCAGTTGAAAACAAATTATGGTTTTTGAGGTAAACATTCCAGGATTTTTCTCCATATAGTGGACTTCAATGGGAGCCAATGGGTTGAAGGTCCTAATTGTAGTTTCAATGCAGCTTCAAAGGGCTGAACACAATCCCAGCCGAGTAATAAGGGTCTTATCTAGCGAAACGATTGGTCATTTTCTAAGAAAAATACAAATGTATATACTTTTTAACTAACTGCAACCACAGGTTCGCCTTGCAATAGCTCGACCTCATGCATTATGGAATACGGTAGGCAGAAGTACTGACCCAGTGTTTACAAAGCGAACGTGTAAAGAAAGTCAAACGCCATTTACAAAAAAAAAAGGTAAAATTATGTCGGACGATTTTGAAGTTGGAGAAGAAAATGAGATGGAGTTACACAGATGAATAACTAACCGCATGTGACTTTTCCAATGTTATTACGCAATGCCTGAAGATGCGCATCGCAGAGCTAGTGTAAGACGAGCATTTGTGATTAAAAAGTATATACATTTTTATTTTTTTAAGAAAATGACCAATCATTTCGCTTGATAAGACTGTTATTCATAAGCTGGGACACGAACATCGTGGATGACATGGGGGTGAGTAAATGGTCAGGAAATTTTCATTCTGAAAGTGAACTTCTCCTTCAACAACAGTCAAAATTTCAGTAGCCACATTTATGCAAAAGAGAAAAGAAATGTAATAAAAAGTTACCTTTCCTGTGATGTCATTAATGGCAACATGCACAAAGATAGATGCTTCTTCCATACCTTCTAAATAAACATGTCGATAGCCTGTGGAACAAGGAAATAATGTAATTCTGGCTGACTGAATTATTGACAAAAATGTATACAGCAAATGTATCAAAAACATATACAGCATTCTCTGTCCAATAATGTCACTGACTGTCATGTAATTTACCTGGCATCATGCTTTTAAATGCTATGGTTCTCTGTCCAATGAAGTCTCGTCCAATTGGATCATGGTCCCAAACCATAAAGCGTACTAAGGCAATCTGAGGCATGTGCAGAGTAAACACGAGTGTCTCCTCCCATATGGGGTTAAACCCTGTTACATGGGCATAACATGGGAAACGGTTTACATTTAGCTGACCTATACCAATCTTTATTTTTTGTGTAAGCTATATATTTAAATGTTACATAAGCCTTTTATATTACATATAAGATTGTTAATATGAAAGCAATGGATCATTTCAAATCGGACATGATGGAAAAATGATTCGCAGTTCAGTCAAATCACATTATTTTGTCTCATTCGTTGCAAAATAAACCATTACTCATGAATCTTTTTGCCTGACTCATTAAAAAGAAAAAGAGTCCTTTGTGTGAGAAACTGGCATCATATGTGTTCATTTCATATGCAGGAAACACGACTTGCTTTTAAACACAAAGGAAAAGAAGATACATGAAAAGAAAATGCACAAGACATCGCGCAACACTCAAAGACTGTTTGTTTATGTCTGAAAAATAATGACAAAACAGTGCAGTGGCAATCAAAAACACACATTTTTATTTTATTTAGAATAGTGCGATTAATCGCATCCAAAATAAAAGTTGTTGTTTACATAGTATATGAGTGTGTACTATACAAACACATGCATATATATATTTAAGAAAAATATGTTATGTTTATATATTAAATATATTTATATATAATATAAAATATAATAATATAAATACATAAATGTATATACACATATATACTGAATGTAAGTGTATTTATATACATAATAAATAAACACAGTACACATACATATATTATTCAAACAAAAAAAAATATTTTGGATGCGATTAATCGCGATTAATCTTTTGACAGCACTGATTTATAATTATTATCACATACTGTTGCCATCAGTCAGCCACTAAAAAAAAACACATATGAAACACCTACTAACCCTTATAGGCTCTACTGCCAAGTTCTGTTTGAACAATTCAGTTCTGTACTTACCGTTGTCATCTACTACTCTTGTCTGCTGTTTATTGCAATCGATAGGCAATCCAATAATCTCCACTTCCACAAAGGGATCTATGATCTGGACAACAAACATTCAATCTCAGACAGCTTGTAACATTTTATCATTTACTTTAATTTCAGTATGAGTGATCTCACCTCTCCTCTGTCTCCTAACATGGAGTCTTTTGGCTTTGGTAGCTGCTGGCCACTAATTATCTTGAGCACTAGCTGAGATTTCCTGTGTCCTGGCAAAGGGTCTTCCAGCATAGGATTAAAGGCACCTGAGGACAATCATTTTGTGTGGTGAAAAGTGCCTTTCAAAGAAAATAATGCATTTAATGCATCAAATAAATGTGTCTTTTTTTGTCTGCACTCTGGAGGCACCAAGCTACCTTTACACAAGCATTTTGGCTTCAGCACATAGCCGCAGTTTCCATTCGCTGCAAATTTTGCCCTGTTCAGCTGTAGCATACGGCCTTCTGTTTGATAGTTGAGAGCGACTGGAAAGATGAAACAACATTTCAAACAAATGCATGGCACAACTGTGATACGTAAAAAAAAAAAGAGAGAGACATTTGCCAGCAAGGATCCATTGCTGTTCAAATCAAAGTCGTTGCCGTTTCATCATTAATGAAAAACAACCGGCTGATGTTTGATGATAATTAGAAAGGAAATTATTCACAATAAATGAAAGAAAAAAGCTAATTCATACCTAAATGACATCCTGCATTCCAAAAAGGCTGAGGATTGAAGTTGCTAGAATCAACACGGTAGTTGAAAGGGTAGACTCGTAAGAGCTGTCGTTGATTCAAGCGAACTAACTGGGCAGGCTTTAGCTGCATTATCTGGTTAGTTAGGCTTT